CTGCCTGTCTGGAAGGTGTGCCCCCGGCGGCAGCCGCGCACAAGGCCCAGGGTCTCCACACGTCCCCCAGCCTGGCACCTACAACGCGCAGGGCTCGCTGTCCCCTAGCCCAGTGGACACAACGCAGGGGGTTTTCTGCAAATGAGCTGCAGAGGAAACACCTTTTATTTTTTAAAAAAAATATATTTTATTGATTTTTTATAGAGAAGAGGAGAGAGGGATACACAGTTGGAAACATCAATGAGAGAGAAACATCCATCAGCTGCCTCCTGCACACTCCACACTGGGGATGTGCCCCCAACCAAGGTACATGCCCTTAACAGGAGTCAAACCGGGGACCCTTCAGTCTGCAGGCCGACGCTCTATCCACTGAGCCAAACCAGTTTGAGCATTAACACCTTTTCTGACCACTCATTGGCTAAGCTCCCTGTACGCTGCCACTTGCAGTGTTCTTGGTAACTTGGGTTATAAGAATCCAAGAAGGTGATCTAGGGTTTTTCCACCACACTCCTGGAGGCAAAAACTAAGGTCTGCTGCTGGAGGGGCTAAGAAATGTCATATCCTGCCCTAGCCGGTTTGGCTCAGTGAATAGAGCCTCGGCCTGCCAACCGCAGGGTTCGGGTTCGATTCTGATCAAGGACATGTACCTAGGTTGCAGGCTCCTCCCTGGCTGGGGCCCAGGTCAGGGCTCATGCAGGAGGCAACCAGTCAAAGCGTCCCTCTCACATTGATGTTTCTCTCTGTTTCTCCTTCTCTCTTCCACACTTTCTAAAAATCAATGGAAACATATCCTCAGGTGAGGATAAAAAAAAAGAAAGTCATATCCTATGAAAGACACATTTGAAAATGCCTAAAGGAAATTGTCATTTTTTCATGGTGAAGGGACTGGAGTCATATTGATGAAAACACCTTGGCTGCAGCAGCGGGGTGATGGGGCTGGTGCCTTCCCCTGATCAGCCCGGTCACCTCCTGCAGAGGGAGGCCAGACTGCGGCTTAGGCCCACTCCCAGACATCAGTAGGACATCCCCTGAGGGCTACCAGTCTGTGAGAGGGGACAGGCTGGGCTGCGGGACACACCCCCCCCCCAGTGCACAAATTTCATGCACCGGGCCCCTAGTTAAGGATAAAACCTTGCCCTGGCAGGTCTGGCTCAGTGGCTAGAGCCACGGCCTGCGGACTGAAGCGTCCCAGTTTCGATTCCCAGTCAAGGGCACGTGCCCAGGTTTCTGGCTCCATCCCCAGTAAGGGGTGTGCAGGAGACAGGCCATCGATGATTCTCTCTCATCATTGCTGTTTCTCTCTCTCTCTCTCTCTCTCTCTTACTCTTACTCTCTGAAATCAATAAAAACAAAACAAGAAAAAACCTCACCAGACCCCTTATATTTTGTTTCCTGATTTTTTCCTGCTGCACAGCCACAGGCATCCACGGAGGAGACCCCCGGAGACCAGACCAGTGTAGGAGCCGCAGATGCTGCTGAGGGGGAGGCCACTGCCCCGAGGGAAGCCCCGCCCAATGGAGAAGTCCCACCTGAAGGAGAAGAGGGGGAAGTCGCACCTGAAGGAGAAGAGGAGGAAGTCATGCCTGAAGGAGAAGAGGGGGAAGTGGCGCCCGAATGGGAAATGGAAGACGAGGAGACCGTGGAGGCGGAAGGGGAGCAGGGGTCTGATGTGAAAATCGTGTCTTCCGAGGGGAAAGCCAGCTCCACAGAGGTCACCTACTCAGACACCAGTCTTGGGGACGCGGCCGGGGACTCGGAGTCCGCCCAGCAGGCAGCAGGCTTCTCTGAGTGGCTGGGCCCGGATGCTTCCAGATTTAGGCTCAGCCATTCGGTGAGTAGCCCCAGGGCTGTTTGATGTCAGTGTGCTACTTACTGCCATGGGGGTGTCGCCCATCGTGAGGAACTTGGGGTACACTTCAAGTACCAATGGCAATCCCCATTAGACATGGCTCAGCAAAGGCAGGGCTCTGAATGCCAAGGTGGGGGTCACTCCCCGAGAGGCATCCCGGTTGCTGGTCTCTGAACAGCCCGTCCAGGGGGATGGGATAGATGGTTTCCATTTTGACCATTTGCAAAAGGCACATGATTTTTTTTTAAATATATTTTATTAGAGGCCCGGTGCACAAAATTCATGCACTGGGAAGGGGGATCCCTCAGCCCAGCCTTCACCCTCTCCAATCTGAGATCCCTCTCACAATCTGGGACTGCTGGCTCCCAACCTCTTGCTTGCCTGCCAGCCTGATCACCCCCTAACCACTCCCCTGCCAGCCTGATGGATGCCTAACTGCTCCCCTGCTGGCCCAATTGCCCCCAACTG